GTTAATAATCCTTGATGCAAGTTGGAATTAATTACTCAAGAAAAATTCACTAAGTGTAAAAAGGGGACTGATGTTTACAATTAACTTGCACTCTCCAGAAGTAGTGGAGCCAATCCTGGGAAGAGCTTCCCCTCATGAAGTCTCCAAGATAATATGCAGATACTGACTCAGATTTATCTAGGGGAAAGGAATTAGCCAGACAGGTATTAGACAAGACCCAAATTAATCCATTCTTAAATACCCATTCTTAGAAAATAAAAAACCTCGGATGGCACTGTAGTGCAATGTGTTAATGCCCTGGCCTGAAGCACTGGCATCCCATATGGGTGCTGGTTCGAAACCTGGCTGCTCCACTTCTGATTCAGTTCTCTGCTATGACCTGGGAAAACAGTACAAGATGCCCAAGTCCTTGGCTCCCTGCATCCACGTGGGAGACCCAGAAGAAGCTCCTGGCTCCTGGCTTCAGATTGGCACAGCACTGGCTGTTGTGGCCAATTGGGGAGTGAACCATTGGATGGAAGGCCTCTCTCTCTCTGCCTCTCCTCTCTCTGTGTAACTCTGCCTTTCAAATAAATAAATAAATCTTTAAAAAAAAAAGAAAAGAAACAACCTAAGTCCAGGTTACCAGTAGCTGCTAAAAAATAAAATAGGACTCAAAGAATAAGAGATCCCAAAGTCAGCATAGAAATCAGAGTTTACACAAGCTGAACTTCAAAAATACAGGCAGGACTTTGCCCAAAAAGAGACTTAAAATCTTGAGTTCTTATACAAGCTCTGGACTAAAGGATCAAATGGCATTTTAGTTAGTGGGTGATAAATGAATATTTTAACTGGAATAGTGGAAAATTGGGTAATACATGACAAACTTTGTCAAATAATGGATGACTGTATAATGAACAGTCAATTTTTGACTGGATAATGGAAGCTTGGCAGCAGGCTTTTCCAATATTAGATTTAGCATCTCATTGCCCAAATTAAATGTAATAATATCAACAAAGCCATAAGGCTATGTAGAAAAATTGGGGTGTTAATGATATGGTCCTGAGAGGCAACCACTCCAATGATAGTGTCAAGGGATTAAAAATTTAATTATTAAGGGTTGACCACAACACTTGCGTCTTACCATGATCACCCTGATGAGGGCCAGAGTAATGTAAGAAATTGTGGATTACTTCCACCAGGCTGGAGACCTAGAAGGGGGCCAAAATTTATCATTTTTAATACCCAAACTCAGACATCTGCCTCTATTTGAAAATCCTAATGGGGAAAGCTTTAAAAACATCCAATGGGAACCCAGACTGAAAACAGAAAATAATTATCAAAGGGGAAACAGCGAAAAACTCCAACAGGGGACCCCAGAATTACCCATGTTACAATAGAAATCTGTTGGGCTCCAAATTCCCCCCAAACTCTCTAAGGCCAACAAATCATCCCTCATACCATCAAAACAGGAAAGAGTCAGTGAATGGCCCAATCAGCTCTACAGCACCCCTCAATTGGGATACAGAAAATTCAAGTTCCAGAAATGGAAACCCAAACCCAAAAGGCACAATTAAAATGTAACTATATAGATAATAGACTATTTATGAATTTAGTAATTAACTTTAAAAATATAGATTATAACTTAAAATTCTTAACAGATACTGAAAGCCAAGTAACCATAATTAGAGACATAGGCACTAAAATTAAAAATAAGATAACTATTGAAGGCATTAGTGGACAGACTATAGAGGTGTATAACATCCCAATTAAAATAAAAAATTATGATAGGAAAGATATTTTAGGTAAAGCAATTCTAGCACAATCCCCATATAATATTTTGGGAATGAATTGGATCCCAATGATAATTAAAGACCACATTCATCTTAAAAATCAGTAAAACAATCATTACTAGCAGCTATTAATATTCAACTAATTGAATTACCTATTCCAAAACCAACTTTTATTGAACAATACCCCCTAAAAGGAGGACATAAAGAAATAATAACAAAATAGGGAAGCTTTAAAAGGAGGGAATAATTGAACAAACCCAAACCTTTAATTTCAATAACAGGGTATGGCCTATAATAAAACCCCAATGGTGATTCACAGTAGATGTTAGAAACTTAAATAAAAATGAACCTGCCATACCAGGAAACATACTAGAGGTAGAAAAAATTATCAATAAAATTACTATGGACAATCTTAAATATTTTGCCACAATAGACCTAATTGATATGTTCTTTTGCATTCCATTATCTAAAAATTCAAGAGAACAAACTACATATACTTGGAATAATATTCAATATCAATTCACCAGGCTATGTCAGGGATATAAAAATAGCCCAAATATTGCACATACAATAATAAATGGATATTGAAAACAAATTAAAAATAAAAATCCTGATATGCAAGTTTTAAGTTAAATTGATGATTTAAAAATTTATGGAGATAAGAAAGAGTGGCTAACACACTTTAGATAAGCTTATCAAACATTTAGTAAGTAATGGATGGACAATAACCCAATATAAAATACAAAATTCAAGCCACCAAGTAAAATTTTTAGGCATAGAATGGAACAGTGAGGATAAAACAATCCCTAATATTATAATAGATAAATTAAGAAGTTTATCTTCTACAATGGAAAAAAATGGAGCACAAAAATTAATTGGATGTTGGAGGATTCACATTCCATATTTACAAATTATATTTAAAGCAATATATCAAATTACTAGAAAAGCATCCAGATTTACATGGGGCAACAACAAGTCCTCCAAACTTTAAAAGAATATGTAGAATATGTTAAAACATACCAAGAATTACATAATATAAAGGGAAACAATAATACTATAGACATTATATTTTTGGAATGGTATGGTAATTGGGCACTTTATAAAATTATTGAAAAACACAGTATACCAACTGAATTATACTGCAAGTGCTTTCCACACTCAGTTTTCAAGTATTCGTTGTTCAAAAAAATAATATGGACTTTATATGAAGTGCTGAGAAATGTGAACCTCTATGCCAGGATCAACCCATAGAAATCCAAACCACAATACCTGTACTACCATGGGTCAATTTGGGTAGGCAATCTGCAGAGTACATCTGAAACTAAAGGTTTTAACTTGGAAATGGCATATCCAAGAATTCCTGAAGAACCACAAGGCAAAGACAGGTGGCAACATATCAAAAGTCACTAAATAGGTGGCTGAGATGACAACTCCACCACCATAAACACAAAAACCACCACCTTAACCCATTGGTACATGGGGACCAACATGGTCAGAGCAACTCAGGAATGCCTGGTTTACAGATAGTTCAGCCTTCGTAGATCCTCGAAAGGTGCAGCCTGTAGACCCTCAGAGGGAATGATCCTGACAAAAGAGGGAATAAACAAATCAGCACAATTTGGTTAGCAGTAGAGAAAACAATCCAAGAAGAACACAAACTTATTTACATTTGCAATAATTCATAGTGCTCATGCAATGGAGTCACAATTTTGTCTAATAAATGGAAAAAAATAATTGGCAAATCTATGGTAAAGATATATGGTCCAAAGATACATGTACTAAGATATCTGAGTCCAAGCTTAAAAAAATGATTACTCATGTAGATGGCCATACTAATAAACCCAATCATGAAGCACAATACAATGAGGTGGTAGACAGATTTAGTAAAATAGGTCAAGTAGCAACTATTAAGCTAAAAAAACAAACACCTAATAATTGGGAAATTAATATACCTAAATTGAAAATCACTAAACAAAATTGAGAATATAAAGTAAAAATACACTAAAATTAAAGAAAAATCCAACTGGAAAATATACATTGCATGTGTTCCTATGTGTCCTGACCATAGAAAAAGAGCAAGGCAGGGACAGGCTGAGGTCAGGATCCAGCAGCTTTATCTGGGTCTCCCACATTGGTAGCATTTGCCCAAATTCTACATGAGATTGTGAAGTGGTATTAATTGTATAAATTCTCATGTAATTCAGATTTCTCCCCAGCTCACACACTATGTATCAGCATTGGGTGTAGGACAAATCTGAAAACACAAAGCTTTGCAAATAGCCATTTGATTTGTAATTCTGTTTCAGTATTTTGGGATGGGCTCAGCTGGGCAGTTCCTATGATCATTCTGGGACCAGAAATAATTCAGTCATCTGAGGTATGGATTGAGGCTGGAATCTTAGAGATGGCTTCATTTAGATGTCTGGTAGTTTGTGGTGAATCTTGGCTAGATCCTATCTCTTCAACTGGCAGGTCCCAGGGTTTTCCAGATAACTCTCAAATAAGGAAAACCTGAGAAGGCAAATACTTTATAAAATATCTCTTTCTATCACATTTACTGATGTATCATGGGGTAAAGTGAATTAAATTGAGTTCCAGGGACTTGTGAAGGGACGAATATAAGCAATGACATTATTTGGAATCATTAATGGAACAGTGTATTACATTAAATATACATTATGTATACTTGTTCCAATGCAATTTTGGCCAAAAATGCAAAGCTGTAAGTTGCATACTTTCTATAGAATTTCACATCTCCACAATGAAGCTGATGTTTTCTCAGTTAATATATTCTTTGTTCTTTATTCTTTCTATTATTTTATTTTTTTTCCCCACAGTTCAATGTAGAAGAAAACCAGAGGAGTTTTCTTTTTTGGCAGAGTGGACAGTGAGAGAGAGAGACAGAGAGAAAGGTCTTCCTTTTCTGTTGGTTCACCCCGCAATGGCCACTGCAGCCAGTGCACCACGCTGATCCGAAGCCAGGAGCCAGGTGCTTCTCCTGGTCTCCCATGCGGGCACAGGGCCCAAGGACCTGGGCCATCCTCCACTGCACTCCCGGGCCACAGAAGAGAGCTGGCCTGGAAGAGGAGCAACCGGGACAGAATCCGGCGCCCCAACCAAGACTAGAACCTGAGGTGCTGGCGCTGCAGGTGGTGGAGGATTAGCCTAGTGAGCCACAGCGCTGGCCAAAGTTTTCTTTTAACTCCTTTCATTCACCTTCTCTTCCAGGTATCATTCTGGGCACCTCCACATATTTCCAAGAGCAAAGAAAATCAATATATCACCTGTAAGTGGTGTTCTTTTTGTAAAAGATTTATTTTATTTATTTGAAAGTAAGATTTACAAAGATAGGTAGAGAGAGACAGAGAGGTCTTCCATTTGCTGGTTCACTCCCCACGTGTCTGCAATGGCTGGAGCTGAGCTGATCTGAAGCCAGGAACCAGGAGCACCTACCAGGTTTCTCATGTGGTTGTAGGGGCCCAAGGACTTGGACCATCTTCCACTGCTTTCCCAGATACAATTTTAGGTAATTGGATCAGAAGTGGAGCAGCTGGGACTTGAATTGGTGCCCATATGGGATGCCAGCACTGTAGGTGCCACAGTGTTGGCCCTGTAAGTGGTTTTCTTAATTATTCCTCAGCTTTTTGTCCTTTTTCATTTCAGGAGATGTGCAATGTTTATTAATTAAAATGGAAAAATAAGCATAAAGTTTATTCTCAGGGAGTATGCACAAATAAGATTGCTGATTAATTTGGAATGATTATGAAACAGAGTTATCTAAGATAAGGCAATTTGGTCTCTTTCTGTTGCCATGGAAAAACATACATTTGTTACTATGTTTTGAGTTGAAACTTAGAGTACATTATGCTAATTTGGGGGGGTCATGATGTCTGAAACATAGATGATGTAGTGGGCAGTGCTTTAGTGCCACCCTGAAAATAAACACTTAACATTCTGCAAGGGTAAGAGTTACCTAGTGTTAAAACACAAATTAGTTAAGTTTGTTTTTGAATTGTTAGGATAATGCAGTCCTTAATAATTTTGAGGAGCTGAACTGGATTCAGGGATAGAATAAGGAATATATGCAGAAAAGAATCTACTGCAGGTTGTTTTTTATGACTTATTTATTTGAAAGGCAGAGTTACAGAGATTGGGAGAGACAAGCAGAAAGAGATACCTTCCATCTATAGGTTTATCTCCAAATGGCCACAGTAGCCAAGACTGGGCCAGGCCAAATCCAAGATCCTGAAACTTCATCTGAGTCTCCCACATTGATGGAAGGAACCAAATATTCAGGCCATCTTTCATTGTTCTTTCAGGCACATTAGCAGAGAACTGGATTGGAGCTTGGTAAGCCATGACTCAAACTATCTGTTCACCTGGGTTGCCAGCATTGCATGTTGAGGCTAAACCTGCCACACCACAATGTTGCTGCTTACTGTAGGTTCTTAAACAAATCTCTATGAATTTCTTTCAGTAAGTCATAAATGCAGATTGTACTGCAGATTTTCCCAAGCTCTAATTTTGGGCAAATAATTACATTGTTTTCACTTTAATTTGGTATAATGTATTTTTTCTTTTTTGATATTTAAGCTTTAATTTTATTTGAAGCCAAAGAGTTAGAAACCATGTAATATCTTTATTTTTTATAGAAACCTTTTGTTTAATGAGTACAAATTTCATAAGTAAAACTTTAGAAATATAGTGATTATTACCACCATACCTGCCCTCCCATCCTCACTTCCACCCCACTTCCTCATCCCTCTCCTATTCCCAGTCCCATTTGCCATTGAGATTCATTTTCAATTAACTTTATACACAGAAGATCAATTCTATACTAAGTAAATATTTCAACGATTTGTGTGCACACAGACACAAACACACACACAATATAAAAACTATTTGAGAGCAAGTTTTACAGTTAATTCTCATAGTACAATTCATTGACAGAGATCCTGCATAGAAAGTAAGTACACAGTGACTCCTGCTGTTATTTTAAAAATGAACACTCTTATTTATGATGTCAGTGATCACCTGAGGCTCTTGACATGAACTGCCAAGACTATGGAAGCCTTTTGAGTCCACAGTCTCCGTCAGTGCTATTATGTGTTTTCATTTCTTCAAATGTTTCTCAGTAGAACAATCAGAGACAAAGCCAAAAGCTATTGTCTATTCTATGTCTTACTTAAATACCTCTCAAATAAATAGGGAAATTATAGGTTGCTGGAAACATTTGAAGAGTGATCCTGTGGCTGGCAACCCTCTGTTTCATTCTCTCTTTGTGTCTCATTCTCTGTCTCTCTGACTCTCAGGTAAGTAAATAAGTAAACAGTAAGAGATGGTCAGAAGTACACTTCCCTGCTGTGACATCAGAAATCATGAAGTTAAGCAAGAACTTGTATAGGAACATGAGAATAAGTGATCCAAGACTCACTACTTGACCCAAGGTCAAGTAACCTCATAGGTTTATGTTGAGTGGCTCAGATTTGTTAAAGAGTGGAGTTTGAAGTATGAATTCTCTCTTATTTTTCAGTATCACTTAAAAACAAACAAGAAGATAAGAAAGGCACAGTAAATGGGGTTTTCTGTGAAAATAGGAGACAACTAATCAAAAGCCTCCAGAAACACAAATTGTCACAGATTAGCGTTTATAGAAAGAATTTAGAAGAGATAACCAGGGCTGGTGGTTTCAGAATGATATATAAAACACCTTTCAAAGAAGGTGAATATATCCTGGATTGCAGAAACAGACTCTTTAAACTGGTAGAGGGACTGGCGCTGTGGCACAATAGGTTAAAGCCCTGGCCTGAAGCACCGGCATCCCATATAAGTGCCAGTTCTAGTCTTGGCTGCTCCTCTTCCAATCCAGCTCTCTGCTATGGCCCGGATAGCAGTAGAAGATGGCCCATTTCCTTGGGTCCCTGCACCTATATGGGAGACCAAGAAAAAGCTCCTGGCTCCTGGTTTGAATCAGCACTGCTCCAGCTGTTGCAGCCAACTGGGGAGTGAACCAGTGGATGGAAGACCTATCTCTCTGTGTAACAATGTCTTTCAAATAAATAAAATAAATCTTTAAAAAATAAAAATTAAAAATTAAACTGGTAGGGAGTGTAAACCCAAGGCAGTATATTAGGACTTTTCTGTACCTGTTGTAGTTCTGAGAAGCTGAAGATGTCAGGTTTCCTTAAGAATATGGGGAAGCTGTCACTGAATGCAAATAAAAGTGAATTTTTCATTTGAAAAATCACATAAATGCTGTTTCCCTGGGAAGACTGAATATGAGAAAATCATAGATTCAGATCTTGTTCATCAAATATGGTCCTGCCTAGAGTACAGACATATTTCATTTATTTTAAAGATTTATTTCATTTATTTCAAAGACAAAGAGAGATAGAGCCAGACAGAAAAAGAGGTCTTCCATCCACTGGTTCTCTCCCCCAATGACTGCAATGGTCAGAGCTGAGCCAATCTGAAGCCAGGAACCAGGAATCTCTCCTGGTTCTCACACATGAGTGCAGGGGACAAGGATCTGGGCCATCTTCTACTGCTTTCTCAGGCCACAGGAGAGAGCTGGGGCAGAAGTGGAGCAGCCAGGACTCAAACCAGTGCCCATATGTTATACCTGTGTTTGCAGGCCAGGGCTTTAACTTGGTGCACCACAGCATTGGCCCCACATTTCATTCTCCATCTGCGAGTAAATGAACAAATAAAAGCTTTCCACATTTATGGTTAAAATATCGGAGAAGCACAAAACACAATTTTTATAAATATATGCTGGAAATATAAAATATATATATATATTTTCTATATATGTAAAAATATACATATTATATATATATATGCTGGAAAAAAAGAACAGGGAATAATTGGCTGCTAGCCAGTTGGTGAATATTTCTACTAACTATTTGTTTATTCTTTAAAAATCTTCTATAGTTGTTTCATTTTTGTGAAAGGCAATGACAGTGAGAGGGGAAGAAGATCTTCTATTGGCTCACTCTCCAAATGCCAGCAAAACTTAGGTCTTACTAGTCTGAAACCAAAAGTCTGGAATTCCATTTAGTTTTCTCTGATGTATTACAGGGTTCTAAGCACATGATCCATCATTTTCTGCCTCCCAGTTTACATAAGTAGAGCTGTATTGGAAGCAGAGTAGCCACAGCTCAAAGTTTTGTTATGCAGGCATCCCAAGCAGTGTATTGACACATTTGACCACAAAAGCCATTGTGCCATACTTGTTAAACAGGATCATGAGTGAACATTGGTAAATCTATTGGTACAATTGAATATATTAATATGTTAAGGAGGGGCCTGTGCTGCGGCTCACTAGGATAATCCTCCGCCTAGCGGCGCCGGCACACCGGGTTCTAGTCCCGGTTGGGGCGCCGGATTCTGTCCCGGTTGCCCCTCTTCCAGGCCAGCTCTCTGCTGTGGCCTGGGAGTGCAGTGGAGGATGGCCCAAGTGCTTGGGCCCTGCACCCCATGGGAGACCAGGATAAGTACCTGGCTCCTGCCATCGGATCAGCGCGGTGCGCCGGCCGCAGCGTGCCAGCCGCGGCGGCCATTGGAGGGTGAACCAACGGCAAAGGAAGACCTTTCTCTCTGTCTCTCTCTCTCACTATCCACTCTGCCTATCAAAAAAAAAAATATGTTAATGAGAAAAAAAAAACAAATAATGATCATAAATAAGTAACTTGTACTTATTTTGTTAAAATCTTACACCACTTATTTAACAAGTAACTTCATTTCTTTATATGAGTATGCCAGGAGAAACAGTTATATGTGATTAAGTGATATGGTTTTTTTTTTCTCATTTCAGTTACCATGAAAAGGGATGACTTGATTTGGACCCACTAGGAAAATCAGGACAAAAATCTGAGTTAACATGTTATGAAAAATAACAAAACATCAACTTCAAGAGAGTTGAATTAAGAAAAAAACTTAATTTAAGTTCAAGCCATATTCCAAAACTGATTATCAAAAAGGGAAACTATTTAAGAATGAAATCTGAGGAATGCAATGTATGTCACAGTGGGCGTGATCAACTACAAGCTGGTGAAAAATGTGATGCCACTAAGGTACCTGGGAACTCACTCCAGTTCTGTGAGCCTATTAGCATCACAAGAGTCAGACAGTGAAGAAAGCACTTGAAAATATTGGACCAGTGAAAGTTCACAAGAGAGAAGATACTCTGTAAATCTGAATGGATTCATATGGAAGAAACCTATAATATATCAACTGTCACTGTTGAAAAGACAACTCCAATAAAGAAAAAACTTTCTATAAAAATTCTAATCTTAGTATGCATCAAGAAACCCATACAAGAAAAAAATTATATGAATATATTAGGTATATGGATCTCAACACTTACCAATCACATCCTGCAATAAATCAGAGACCACATACAGGAAAAAACCCTATGCATGTAAACCTTATGAAAAATCAGTCAGTTGTAAGTGCTGTCACAACATCCATTACAGTACTCACATATAGGAAAACTGCAATGTGTGTAATGAATATGGAGAGACCACTTATCAGATGTCAGATCTCATTACACATAAGAAAATTCACAAACAGAGGAGACCACATGAATGTAAAGAATATGGAAAAGCCATTTTCCAGAAATCATAGTTCATAACACATCAGAAAATTCACACAGAGGAGAAACCTTATGAATGTAATGATCGTGAAAAAGCCTTTTAGAATAAGTCAGAGCTCAGAAAGCATCAGATAACTCACACAGGGGAGAAACCTCATGAACGTAATGACTGTGGGAAAGCCTTTGGATGAAAGTCAGACCTCATTTCACACCAGAGAATTCACACACGGGAGAAACTTTACAAATGCAATCACTGTGGAAAATCCTTTTGCTCTAAATCACATCTCATTTCACACCAGAGAATTCACACAGGGGAGAAACCTTATGAATGTGATGATTGTGGAAAAACCTTTGGCTGTAAGTCAGCCCTCAGCAGACATCAGAGAATTCCCACAGGGAAGAAACCTTACAAATGCAATCACTGTGGAAAATCCTTTTGCTCTAAATCATATCTCATTGCACACCAGAGAATTCACACAGGGGAGAAAGCTTATGAATGGGATGACTATGGAAAAGCTTTTGGCCATAAATCATCCCTCGTCATACATCAGCGAATTCACAAAGGGGAAAAACCTTATGAATGTAATGACTGTGGAAAAGCCTTTGGCCTTAAGCCACAGCTCAAAAGGCATCAGAAAATTCACACATGGGAGAAACTATGAATGTAATGACTGTAAAAAAGACTTTGGCCATAAGTACAACTCAAAATGCATCAGAGAATTTACATAAGGGAGAAGTCTCATGAATGTAATGACTGTAGAAAAACCTTTGGCCAGAAGTCAAACCTCATAATGCATCAGAGAATTCACACACAAGAGAAAATCATGCATGTAATGACTGGAAAATATTTTTGCTATAAATCACAGCTCATGAAACACCATAGAATTCACACAGGGGAGAAACTTTATGAATGTTATAGTGTGGAAAAGTCTTTGGCCATAAGTCACATCTCATAATCCATCACAGAATTCACACAGGAAGAATCCTTATGAATGCAAAGACTGTGGAAAATCCTTTTGCTATAAATCATAACTCATAACACAGGAGAATGCACACAGGGAGAAACCTCATGAACCCATTAACTGGAAAAGCCTTTGGCCAGAAGTCAAACCTCATATTACATGAAAGAATTCACACAAGAGAGAAGTTTTATGGATGTAATGACTGTGAAGAGTCTTTGGCCATAAGCCAAAGCTGATAATCCATCAGTTCACAGAGGAGAGAAATTTCATGAATGCTACTTGAATTCTGGAGATAACTAAAGTGCTATGAAATAGAAGAGCACAATCTCTGGTGGTAGAAGTCAAAATAATGATCTGATCTGGGGAGCTAGACAGAGTGCTAGTAGGATCAACAACAGATTGATAAGGTAGCTTCCTGATACAGATCTAAGTATTAATACATGGCAATTCTTTCCTTAACACCATCAATGTTGGAAAATACATGATGTGGTACATCTTTAGAAGCCATTTCTTAATCAGTGATTATAGTAGCATCAATCAGCAAACTAACAAGTGCCCCACTCACTGTAAGTCATAATCCATGTAGGAATCAAATACCAAAATTAAATTCTGAGATATTAGAGAATTTTTGAAAATATCTGTCCTCTTCCTGCCACTCAGGATTATTTGTAAACAGAATATATGCCAATGAGCTTTAGAATATAGAAATTTATTGAGGCATTAGTGGTTAAAAACATTGGAAAAGCATACACACACAAAAAGCATTCCACCTAGATTAAGAAATGGCTTCCCATGTGGGCACCAGTTTGAATCCCAGCTGCTCCACTTATTGAGCTTTATGTTATGGCCTGGGGAAGCAGTAGAAGATGGCCCAAGTTCTTGGGCCCCTGCACCCATGTGAGAGACCTGGAAGAAGCTCCTGGATAGGCCCAGCTTTGGCCATTGCAGCCACTGGGGAATGAGTCAATGGATGAAAGATCTCTCTCTCTCTCTCCCCGTCTCCCTCTGCCTCTTTGTAACTCTGCTTTTCAAATAAACACATCATTTTTTTTTTAAATTTAGTGAAATTTAAACCTTGAAATTTTCACATCAGATTTGTACTAGAATTTTGGATATTTGAGTGGCTTGAATACTAGTATGGATTTATGCCATACTTTAAGTATCTATGTGCATAGACTATTTATGATGAGAATATAAAGAAGAAGTACAAATAGAAGTCTTTCTTTTTTTAATTTTATTTAAGGTATAGAAATTTCATGTACTTAATACATAAAGATTTAGGAATTTAGTGATCCTTTCCACCCTATCCTCCTTCCTACTTATGCTCTCACACTTCTTCCTCCACTTTATTCTTTCCTCATTGTTATTTTTTACAAAGGTCTGTTTTCAGACTAATTAATGCTTATAAGATTAACCCTAGACTAATAAAGTGTTCAAAAAATTGTATGAAAAACTATTCCTCAAGACAAGGACTGTTAAAAATCATCACATTTTTATTTATTTATTTTACTTGAAAGTCAGAGTTACACAGAAAGACTGGGAGAGGCAGAGAGAGAGGTCTAACATCCACTGGTTCACTCCCCAGTTGGCCACAATGGCCAGAGCTATGCTGATCCAAAGCCAGGGGGCAGGAGCTTCTTCCAGGTCTCCCATGCAGGTGTAGGGGCCCAAGGGCTTGGGCCATCCTCTACTGCTTTCCCAGGCCATAGCACAGAGCTGGATAGGAAGTGGAGCAGCCAGGACTAACTGGGGCCCATATAGAATGCTGGCACTGCAGGTGGAAATTTTACCCACTACACCACAGTGGTCTCTGGGTTTGTCATAAATTGCTTTGATTGTGTTGAGAAATTTTTTTTTTTTTTGACAAGCAGAGTGGATAGTGAGAGAGAGAGACAGAGAGAAAAGTCTTCCTTTTGCCGTTGGTTCACCCTCCAATGGCCGCCATGGCTGGCACGCTGTGGCCGGCACACCACACTGATCTGAAGGCAGGAGCCAGGTGCTTCTCCTGGTCTCCCATGAGGTGCAGGGCCCAAGCACTTGGGCCATCCTCCACTGCCTTCCTGGGCCATAGCAGAGAGCTGGCCTGGAAGAGGGGCAACCGGGACAGAATCCGGCACCCCGACCGGGACTAGAACCCGGTGTGCCGGCGCCACAAGGCGGAGGATTATCCTAGTGAGCCGCGGCGCTGGCCAAGAAATGTTCTTTCTATACCAAAGTTTTTTAAGCTTTCCATCATGAAACGATATTGTATTTTGTCACATACTTTCTCTGAATCTATTGAGATAATCATGTTTTTGTTCTTTAGTTTGTTACTGTGATATAGCACATTTACTGATTCACAAATGTTGAACCATCCCGGTAGACCAGGGATGAATCCCACCTGGTCCAAGTGAATGATACTTCTGATGTGTTGTTGGATTTGATTAACTAGCATTTTGTTGAGGATTTTCTGTCTCTATGTTCATCAGGTTTATTGGTATGTAATTCTCTTTCTGTGTTGTATCTTTTTCGAGTTTGGAGGTTAAGGTGATGGCGTCTTCATAGAAGGAGTTTGGGAGAATTTTCTCTCAATTGTTTTGAATAGCTTGAGAAGAATTGGAATCTATTCATCTTTAACTAGTAAAATTAAGGAATGAAGTAATCTAGTTCTGGGATTTTCTTTGTTGTGAGGTCTTCATTACTGATTCAGTCTCCGTCTGGATACTGGTGTGCTTACATTTTGCATGTCTTCATAATTAAATTTTTGTAGGTTTCATGCATTCAGGAATCAATCTATTTCCTTTATGATTCCTGATTTGTTGGTGTGCAGCTCTTTGTAGTTATTTCTGATTTTTTAAATTTCTGTGGTATCTGTTGTTACATTTCTTTTTTCATCTTTGATTTTATTAATTTGGGTCTTCTCATCTCATTTTTTTTGGTTTGTGGACCATTGACATATCAATGTTTTTTCAAAAAAAATCCAACTCTTCATTTCACTGATCTTTAGTATTGCTTTTTTGGCTTCAATTTTATTTATTTTTTAAAAAAGATTTTAGGTATTTATTTGAGAGAGTTACAGACAGAGAAGGAGAGACAATTTGTCTCTGCTGACAATATGGTGACTCTCCCCACCAGCTGCAGCTGAGCAGCTGCAGTTACCTCCACTGTTCCCCCCAGTTGCTGGGTGTGTGCCCAAGACCTGCAGGAGCTGTTGCCTATCTATATACAAAATGGCACTCTCCCTATCTCAGCCAGTTGCCAGGTGCCATTATGGGCGTATAGGAAGAGAGAGATGTGCTTATTTTCTTTTTCTCTGGGTCAGCAGGCATCCATCAGGGCTCTGGACTGGTCTCAATGACAGTGTAGTTTGCTCATCTCTCACTCCCTCTGGCAATATCACCAGTGGAATTGACCACTACAGTCTGATTTCATCTTGCTTTCCAAAGCTGGCACTTTCTCAGGTTCAGAGATGCTGGGGTCATTTGTTATGTCAGTGTTCATTGCTGTGCATCTATACCTTCTACACAGATTCATAGCCCCTCCTTCTACACAATGTCCTCTTCAACTTTCTCTCCAACTCTCCCCTGAAAGTGCACTTTCTCTATATATAGGTTGAACCTTTTACCATTATAACAATCTGTGGGCCCTACCTCAAGAAATAATCTGAAGGTATTCACCTGCCAAAGTCTTCTATAAATTCCATCACATTGGGGATAAAATCTTCAATGTATAATTTGTTGAAGAAAAAATTAGTTTGTAATCTTCTACAGCTGCTGATCCCACAAATTCTTCCATGAGAACTACATTCATTCCATTATAGTAGTCTGATAGTCTTAATATTTAAATTAATTCTAAATCTAAAATCCAATCTCATTTAAGCATCCTCTAAATTGAATATGACAGAAATGAGATATATGACTTCTTCTGGACAAAAATTCCTGTAAACAACTAAACCACACAAGTTATGTGTTCCCATAATACAATGGTAAGGTCACCAAAGGATAGATATTCTCATTCTACATCAAGAAATATTAAAGAAAGTGAGAGAGGTAGGTCCCAATGAAATTCAAAACATAGCAAAACAAATGCCGTCATGTATTAATGCTGAAGAATAATGCTGTTTAATTGGAGACTCCATTTTCCAGAAGTAGAGGTGACAGCATTATTATCATGGCTCTGCATGAGAAACCATGGCTCCCAAAAACTGTATGGCTCTGCACCATGTATCAAGTTCTTCCAAGCTCACAGTTCTCAAGGGTAGTATTGCCCCTAAACCTTTGATTATAATGCATTTGACCTTAAACATGAGAAGGTAGCCCTCATGATGTCTAATTAGTTTTGGAGTCTTTCTTACCTGTTATTTAATAAGAGCACATTTTCACATTCTACTTGCTCCCATATTTCCACCTAGTGGTATCCAAAAAGGCTGACATCTTTTCTTTAGTTCCTTCCATATTTCCCCTTTGTGGTGGAATGAGAAGGCTATGCCAAGATGGCCACTGGCAAGTGAGCACCAGTTACTCAGGAATGGCTTTGAAACCCACCTGGCAATGGAGCCTGCCTGGTAACAGGCTGTGATTGGTTAGGGCATAAACTGCCCCTTGACCAGATTGGCTGCCTTGGCTATATAAGCTGTTGTACCAACTGAAATAAATGAGTCTGCGGGCTGCTCACCTCTGGCCTGCTTTCACCTGACTCCCGGGGTCTGCGTGGTGACTCTGCCTCTTGCCCCCACCATGCTCCTCCTCTCAGGAATGAATCCTCACAGAAGAAATCAACAGCAACATCTGGCATGTCAATGTGACAGAAAGACAGTGTGTCAGACTCCATGAGGTCCCCCCTGGATTTCGACAAGTAGGCCCCTCAATGTTTTGTGTGCTGTTTGGTTCTGTGAGGGTGAGTACAGAACCCCCTGCTACGCCCCTTTCCTTGTCCTTGTCCTCGATCTAAATGACCCTAGGTTAGGCACATGCCGCTCAGAAGTGTATGCTGCTTCTCGGCTCCTCCTTTTACTTTCTGTTCACCCAGTGAATTCACATAAGGGACTGATCATCCCAGAATTCAGAAGCAGCTCATCTTCCCTCACTGGAGAGAGGTGACACTCCAGAGACACCGTGTGGGCATACGGCCTTGACCTAATGAATCAAGGAAGTCCCCCACTAAGCACAGGACATATGTACGATCTGATACACCACTGTCTATTCTTCTAAGGAAGGGAACCCCCTGCATAATGCCATCAGCCGCTGAGTTGCTAGGGATTTGCTTTGTATGGCAGCAGTGCTGTGGGTGTCTTTCCTTTGGCTAGAGTTGGTGTGGTGCACTGCTCTTAAACACTCAAACATGGGAAAGATATCCCCCTCTCAGAAGTGCATGCAGATTACTAAACATAGTCAATCTGTGAGTGATCAGACCTGACACTCCAGTTCCCTGTCTCACAGGCAACAGTTGATAACTTAGGGGGAGAGAGCTCCAACAGTGAAAATAGCAATGTAGCAAACAATGAAATAAACAATGTAGCAATGCCTAGTCAGCCACCTGCCACATACCTGTGGGATGAACTTAGAGGACCTCGAGGCAATAACTCATGGGAAGTCATCCCATCCGACCCAGTGAGGATCCTCACATTTGTGGCAGTACTCAGGCACCCCAGGCTCTCAGGGCAACCGTTAGACCCCATCCCACCCGCATGTTTGCAGTAAATGTAGGAGTGGATGCAAAATTCAGGCCCTGGATTCCAACACCTGTAAAAAGCCTTCTGCTAACCAAGGGTCGAGGATATGCTTGTGTCTTTCCAGAGATTATGGGACAGCCCATTTGGGTACCAACCAGAAACATCAAGCCTGCAACTGACAGCCAACCAGAACCAGCTGAACAAGACTGAGAGTCTGCCTTGTTAGCAGATGCACCTGCCCTATCATCCTACCCTGAGAATCTGCAACTGCCCATAGCCACATCCATTACTGATTTAAACCCTACTAGCTCTGGTCAGCCACTCAAATGGCCCACAGACTGTGTGCGGTCATGCCATTCCTGATAACCATTATTCCTCATTCCTACCCCTATCTGAGCAAGCAATCCTGTGGTCTCTCGATTTGAGTGCTGGTTAGTCAACAATGGGTAAGATCCCCTGGGGGACAACCTAAGACAGGCACAGCTGTGTACAGAGACCACTTGGAAACAGGGTCAACAATTATATGGCCAAAATTCATGCCTCTCATTGCTCAAAAATAAACAAAAATGGGGAAATGTGATGGAATGAGAAGGCCATGCCAAGATGGCCACTGGCAAGTGAGCACCAGTTACTCAGGAATGGCTTTGAAACCCACCTGGCAATGGAGCCTGCCTGGCAACAGGCTGTGATTGGTTAGGGCATAAACTGCCCCTTGACCAGATTGGCTGCCTTGGCTATATAAGCTGTTGTACCAACTGAAATAAATGAGTCTGCGGGCTGCTCGCCTCTGGCCTGCTTTCACCCGACTCCCGGGGTCTGTGTGGTGACTCCGCCACTCTTGCCCCCACCATGCTCCTCCTCTCAGGAACAAATCCTCACAGAAGACATCAACAGCAACACCACTTCTTTTAAACATACCAATTATTCTCCACATAGAATATAGTTTACTCGTCAGTGATGTTCCAGCTACGGCATTTGTTCTATTCTAAATATTCATTCTCTTATGATATGGACAGGCTTTCTTTATCAAAAATTTTCACATTTGTTCTGTTTTAGTATCCTTTACACCCTCAGTATATTGCTCTCCTTTTCCACTGTACTATAATATTAGGAGAAACTAAGCCATTCTGTCGATATTTTGTTTAGAATTCTGTTAAATTAAATTTGTTATTTCATTTCTCATAAGTTTTTCTTGAGACCAGTGCTGTGGTGCTGTGGGTTAATGCCCTGGTTTGAAGTGCCAGCATCCATATAGGGACCAGTTTGAGACCCAGCCGCTCCACTTCCAATCCAGCTCTTTGCTATGGCCTGGGTAAACAGTAGAAGATGGCCCAAGTCCTTGGAACCTGCACCCATGTGGGAGACCTGGAAGAAGCTCCTGGCCCCTGGCTTTGAACCATCACAGCTCCAGCCATTGCAGCCAATCGGGGAGTGAACCATTGGATGGAAGACCTCTCTCTCTCTCTCTCTCTCTCCCTCTATCTCTATCTCTCTTTCTCTGCCTCTCCTCTCTCTGTGTAACTCTGACTTTTGAATAAATAAATCTTTAAAAAAAGAGAACATTTTCTCATTCTGTTGGTTGTATCTTCACTTTGCTGAGTGTTTCTTTTTTAAGATTTATTTTTATTTATTTGAAAGAATTACAAAGAGAGGTAGAGATAGAGAGGTTCTTCCATCTGCTGGTTCACTCCCCAGATGGCTGCAACAGCCATAGCCATGCCAATCTGAAGCCAGGAGATTCCTCTGGGTCTCTCATGTGGGTGCAGGGGCCCAAGCACTTGGGCCATCCTCCACTGCTATCCCAGGCCACAGCAGAGAACTGGCTTGGAAGAGGAGCAGCCAGGGCTAGAATCAGTGCCCATATGGGATGCCAGTGCTTTAAGCCAGGGCTTTAACCTCTGCGCCACAGCTCTGACCCCCTTGCTGAGTATTTCTTTTGCAGTGCAAAAGCGTCTCAGTTTGATGTAATCCCATTTATCAAATTTGGCTTTGATTGTGCTTCTGGAGTCTTCTCCAAGAGTCTTTGCTTATGCCAACATCTTACAGTGTTTCCCAATGTTCTCTAGTAATTTGATGTTATGGGGTTGTAGATTTAGGTCTTTGATTAATTTTGAGTGTATTTTTGTGTAAGGTAGGAGTCTCATTTTATATTTTTGCATGCCTAGATCCAGTTTTCTCAGAATCACCATTTGTTGAAGAGTTTGTCTTTGCTCCAGGAATTTATTTTAGCTCCTTTGTAAAAAATAAGTTGGTTGTAGATGTGTGGATTGATTGCTGCATTTTCTATTTTGTTTCACTGGTTTACACATTTGCTTCTCTACCAGTACCAGGCTGTTTTGATTATAATTGCCTGTAATATGTTTTTTTAAGATTTATTTTTTTTGAAAGTTGGAGTTACACAGAGAGAGGAGAGGCAGAGAAAGAAAAAGGGAGGGAGGGAGGGAGAGAGGGAGAGAGAGAGAGAGAGAGAGAGAGAGAGAGAGAGGTCTTCCATCTGCTGGTTTACTCCCCAATTTTCTTTAATGGCTGGAGTTGCACTGATAGAAAGCCAGGAGCCAGGAGCTTCTTCCAGGTCTCTTACATGGGTGCAGGGGTCCAAGGACTTGGGCCATCTTCTACTGCTTTCCCAGGCAAAACAGAGAGCTGGATCAGAAGTGGAGCCGTGGAGACTCAAACCAGTCCCATGTGGAATGCCAGCACTGCAGATGGTGACTTTACCCACTATGCCACAGTGCTGGCCCTTGCCCTGTAATATGTCTTGAAATTTGGTATTGTGATGCCTTTGTTTTGTTTTTGTTATTGTTGGAGAAGATTATTTTAGTTATTTGAGATCTCTCGTGCTTCCATATGAATTTTACCATAATTTTTTCTAGATCTGAAAATAATGCCATTGATGCTTTTTTTAGGATTACATTGAATCTCTAAATTGCTTCCAGTAGTATGGATATTTTCGTGATGTTGATTCTTTCAATTCATGCTCATCAATAACTTTTTTCATTTTTAGTGTCTTCTTCCATTTTTTCTTTAATGTTTTGTAATGTTCATCATAAAGATCTTTGATATCCTTGTAATCAAGGATATCATTGCTTTCCAAGGTATTTAATTATTTTTGTAGCTATTATGTTTGTATTTCTTGTATGTTCATTAAACCATGCCATTCTGCAATCCATTATCCAGTTCCATATCCACTTCCACATGTTTAAGTAGTTGTTAAAAAATTACCCTGAATTTTATGCTACCATGTCTCTAATTGCTGAGGATACCATAGGAAGATACCACATATGATCTCAGTTACACAAAGTAAAATTATTATTCACAGTTCTGAAAGCTGGAGTTCCAGTATCAAGGTGCTTGCTTCCTTTTTTTCTGGTGATGGGTGTCTGTGGACTCAAGTTTTCTTGCTGAGTCTTTATATGGCTTTTCCTCGGCATGTGCATGCAGAGGAGTAATGCTCTCTTTTCCACTTTTTATAGGTCCGCTACTGCTAACAAGAAGGCTACACCTCTGTTGCTAACTTTTAACACTGATTACATTCCAATGACCTCATCTACTAATGTCAACATGGTGAAGGGACAGCTTATATATGAGGTCACTAAAAAAATTGATGAGAAAGTAAAAGTAAAAGATAACTTTATTTTCATATGGATAGTTTTGAAACTAAAATATCACATATTTTTCATGAACTTTTAAAAATTATGTACATAGGCTTAAAACACTTAGAGCATAACAAACATTTTAAATTACTTCTTCCACAAATGTATTTAAGTGGTTTCATGTTTGTGGGAGACATAAACATTATGTTTATCACATCCAGGAAATACATGTTTGTGATAATTATAATAGGAGATTCATGAAGCTTATGATAGAAAGCTAGGGCAGGATTTTAAAGCATGTCATTTAATAAGATCAAATGCTACTAGGGTATCATGTTGTCATTGAAAATATCTATGTCCAATATTGTAGCTTCATCATTAGTTTGAACCTGTAACTAGGTCTGTTTTGCCTTAATTATCATTCTAGGTGAAAAATCTTTTCCTAGCAAGGCTTGAGTTAGCCAAAACCAATGGGATTTATGTCACACCCTTTGTCACCTTTGATTGCTTACCTATAAGCTTTGGGCTTCTGGACTGCAAACTCATGCATATACCCAGAAAAACCATAATAGGAGAATCTAATTTAAATAGCTTTTATTGATTGGTGTTGGCTATTGATGCCTACAACATTGTCAGTGGGTCAGAGAGTAGACATTGGAGGCCACCCTCTGGAAAGTGGACTATTCCAGAATCTGGGTTTGGTTCCACCATATATTGAGAAAGCCTCAGTATGCATGCTGAGATATTAATGTGTTACTTCAAAGCCCAAAGTCACAGTAGACAACTGGGTGTGGAAAGTCACAGGCTCAGTGCTTATAGAAGGTGCTACTTCCAGGAGAGCACAGGAGGTAGGCAGTAAATTTTATTTCACTGGTATCATGGTTCCAAGGGAGAGTCTCTAACTTCATAACATTTGAGAACTAGTGGTTGTCATAGAATATTTAGAGAACTCAGAAAACAGAAGAGAATGTTGTTGAGGCCCCAAAAGTGAACAAATCTGAGAGCAATGAAGACTGATTTTCATTTAGATTGATCCTAGAGTTTTTTTGCTAGGGGCCCTGGTTAGCATGTAATGATTTGTAAAATATCATCATGAAGATTAATCAAAATTTATGAATAAGGCATACATTGCCTTATTACCAAGATGCCTTGTAACAAAGTACCTTGTTACCAAAAGGTATCAGATTGTATGAAATGGATCTCCTTGGGTGAGGATGTCATTAGTATGATGTTATACCTGTGTCCATTATGTAAGGTGGATGCAGTTAATATCTTTGAAAATGTTGTGAATTATGACCAGGCTGTTGAGATGTCCCGTGTGTATCTTGATGAGATATACTATGGCCATTCAAGGTAAAAGCAAACAGACTGAGTCTATAATAGATAAAGATAAAGCACTGAAGAATAAAGATAATAGATAAAGATAAATATATATAAATAATAGATAAATATATGCAATATATAATAGATAAATATATATAATATAATAGATAAAGATAAAGCACTGAAGAATAAATTGGCCACATTCTCAATGGATGACAACTGATTTAATTATTGAACAGAATAAAAATATTTGCTATAAGATATGGAGCATAATAGATGACAAATAGCATTAAGATTATAATCCACCATGAAGTGCCATTTATTCTTTCTAGGTTTTGCAAACAGGCAACATTGAACTATGAAATGTGGAAGAAGAGGCATAATCACCCCTATGTTAATTAGGCCTTCTGTAATACATTAAATTTTTCTTTTTTAAAAAAGATTTATTTATTAATTTGAAAGGCAGAATTACAGATAGGCAGAGAGAGAGGGAAAGAGAGAGTAAGCTCTTCCATTCACTGGTTCACTCCTTAGACAGCTGCAACAGCTCCAGCTGTGCCCATCCAAAGCCAGGAGCCAGGAGGTTCCTTCAGGTATCCCACATGGGTGCAGGAGCCCAATGACTTGGGTCATGTTCTGTTGCCTTCCCAGGCCATAGCAGAGATCTGGATGGGAAGTGGAGCAGCTGGGACTCAAATTGGCACAATATGGGATGCCAGCATCACAGATGACAGCTTTACATGCTATACCACAGTGCTGGCTCCTAATGCATTTTAAAAAAAAGATTTCTTTATTTGAAAGGCAGAGGTACATAGAGAGAAGAACAGAGACCTTTTATCCTCTGATTTGCTCCCCAAATGGCTGTAGTGGCCATGGCTGGTCTGGGCCAAAACTAGGAAAAAGGAGACTCACAGGGTTCTCTCACATGCGTACAGGGGCCCAAGTACTTGGGCCATCTTTCACTGCTTTCTCAGACACATTAGCAAGGAGCTGGATTGGAAGAGGAGGAGCCACATCTTGAACTGGCACATATATGGGATGGTGGCTATGCAGATGGTGATTTAATCCTCTACGCCATAACACTGTCCCCATGTAATACATTTCACTTCTTGAATGATTTAATTTTTTTTATATTGGTCAATTTTATTTAACTTAATTTGGGCTTTATAGGGTCCCATTTTATCTAGCCAATTTGTCACTTCCAAAAATTGCTTTAGATTTATTACTCATGCAATTGGAATCTCAGCCACCAATGGGACATTTGGTCACATTGAACTGCGGAAAATTGAAGCAGTGTTAAAGTGAAGTGACTAAGTGATGTCCTTGTTTTATATTTATTAATTATTTTAAGAGTAAAAGTGACACTCTAAATTTATTGTAATGCCTAGTTAAGATTCTGATTTCATCCACACCATTCATTACACCCATAAATCTGTAGATATATGGCTTTTTAGAAGCTGTGAAAGGTAATTTAGATCTTATGTTGTAGGAACACAGAATTCAATTAGTGTCATTTTTATATTTTTATCTAAAATAAATTTTAGATTTCTAATTATTTCAGAATATGGGGCTTTCAAAAATATATACATATACATGGCTAAGTTACTATTTTTTTTGTATTTTCTTCCTGTTTCTAGTTTATTTTTTCCTGGACAGTTTTTGGTTCACAAAAAGTTTTCTTAATTTGGAAGTCACAGTGACTAAATGGAAGACAGATATATAGAAATCTTTTATGGCAGATTCACTCCTAAAATGGCCACATGGCCAGAGCTGAACCATGCCAAGTCCAGGAGTCTGGAACCCCATCAAAAATCTACTACGTAGTTGGCATTGGCCCAAAAAGTTGGGCCACTCTTACTGCTTTTTAGTCATATTAGCAGGGACTGAATTACAAACATTACAGGTGGGACTTAACTAGTATTCTGATATGAGATGCCAACATCAGAAGTGTTGCCTTAACCTAGTGTGCCACAACACCAGCTGTGATTTTTTTTATTTTTTTAATCTTTTGGGTTTTTTTTTCTTTTCTTTCCTTTTTTTCCTAGTTTTTTATTTAGACACATAAAGCCACTTTTTTTTTTCTAATACCACGCTGTGTGAATCTTCCAGGCTTTTGCAGCTAACACAGGAAGAAATGAGAATGTACCACTTTGCCATAGTCTCCATAATATATTGCCCCAGTTGGGATAGTCTCTCATCTTCCATAGCTGTTTACATTGGAATTCCAAGTTCAAAGTGTAGATGTGATTTCTTTTGGGGCCTCTTTACCTGATTTCCAATCAGCCACCATTTTGCTATGTGCTTGCATGGTACTTCCTCTGTCTTTGTGCATCCCTAGTGTCTTATAAAGACCCCACTCATTTGAATTAAGGATTCACCTCATGATATCATTATAATTTAATTACCTAATAAATGGTTTTATTGGTAAACAGTTTAATTTGGGATTAGTGTTTCAAGATATGAATTTTGAGAACAAACAATTCAGCCCAGAACAATGAACAG